CCTTACCCTGGGGACACGTGGGCTCCTGGAAGAAGGAAGGTTCATCTCAGAGCTGCATTTGCTTCTCTGTTTGCTAAGGAGAATCTCCTCAATAGGAATATCTACATTCCACCTATGTTATTCATTTTATGCTTTCTTCTGCCGACTGACAGATAACCACAGTTGCTTCAGATTAGTAACGCATGTCCGTCTCATCTGGTATATTTCAGATTACAGAATTATTCAGTTTCACAAAAATTTACCCCTTTGGTGTGATGCTTCTGAAGAAGTTCAAATCCCCCCCTTACACACACACACACACACACACACACACACACACACACACACACACACACACTGTGTACAAAAAACCCCTGACAAACAAGATTTTTTTTTATGGATTTATGAGCTAACACAAGAAATTCATAGGCATCCTAACCCCTTGTTCAATCTTAATTCCAAACAATCACTAACGAATTATACAGTTGTAAATCCATACTACGCTACCATGTAATCTCCTTTAGAAAATGCATGCTCCTCTTCAGCCCAGTTTGAGAAGACCTAAGGCATGAGTGACTCACATTACTAACATCTCAGGAAGACATAAAGCACCTTGTGTCACACTGTCTCACATCGTTATGAAGTCATATCGTTATGAAGTCATGTCGCTGTCCAAATTCAAACATTCTGTTACAGAGATTTTAAGTTGTGATCAAAGAATCCCAAGTGTAATGTCAAATTATTGGAAGAGCAGTCATCCAAATATTAAGAGTAAATATCTGTGGGTAAAGAATTTATATGTGTGGTTTTCTTTTTGCTTTTCATTATTTTTTTTTAATGAACAGAGACTACTTGTAAAACTAGAAATTAAATTTTAAAAGCTTTCGAGGCCAGCCTGGGCTACCAAGGGAGTTCCAGGAAAAGGCGCAAAGCTACACAGAGAAACCCTGTCTCGAAAAACCAAAAAAAAAAAAAAAAAAATTTAAAAAGCTACCAGATAACTTAGTAGTAGTAGTAGTAACAACAAAAACAAAAACAACTACAACTACTGGCTAGCGTTCCCAGTAACAGGCCAGCAAAGGTTGTAAGCCTGTAATACCTGGAAGAGAGAGAGGCTGTAATTGGAGGCTGCTCTCTGTGAAGACACAGCCGAGTAGCTTTGTCCAGTTTGTGTGAATCAGGGTCTTCAACAGGAGAGCGACCTGCAGGTCAGTGCCCATCACAAGACAGCAACCTGTCCACACTGATCAGAGCCCATGTGCCATCTGCAGAGCAGGTGACGTCTTCCTGACCTCTACTCAGAAAATCCCTCCCACAGCAGCTGGGAAATCTCTCCCATTCTAGGGCTTAAAAAAAATAAATAAATAAAATAAGATATCCTACCACAAGACCACACTGTGAATTTACTTAATTAATCTAATAACTACTTTCCTGGAAATACTCAAAACCCTTTTGTTTCTAGATTCAGTATGTCTTATCCCCTTTTGTAAAGGGATGTAAAACAATTGTTAGTCAACAGCCGTCCTTAATTTCCTTGACTAATATTAGAAAAGGACTATTAAACACCTACTTGGACTCAAAGAAAACAAAGCAAGCTATTCTTCAGACAAGATGTTGTTGTCTTCAGTTATGACAATGCCAGCAGGTGTCCTTCCTGCAGGCAGAAAGCCAGAAGAAGCAGGCGCGCTAGACAAACAGGAATTAGTTGTTCAATGGCAGTGGGCTTTTGGCTCCTAGGATGCATTGAGCTTTTATACTTGGTCATTCATTTTGCTACTAGGAAACACAAACACTTCATATTTATCTTGATGCAGAGGGTATTAGTCCTGACTCAACCCCTGAAACAACTCGTGTGTGTCAGGTGATGTGGCTCGTGTGCTGTTCTTCCTCATCTTGACTATTTGATGCTTCAGGAATGAAGGGTGAGGAAAAATCTGCTTTGTTCTGAATAAGACAATGCATCACAGAAAAAGTTTAAATTTCGAAATCACTGGGTCTACTAAAACCGGGTTTTCATTACTGAAATTTTGCCTTTTTTTTTTCTAGTAAACAGTAGGTATTTAATAAATAAAAGTATGTCTCCTTTGCCCTTGCTAAGACATACTTTTCTTCTAGATTTATTAATGAATGATATACAGAAACTTTGTAGTACATTATTGAACAATATTTTTTTAAACACCTCAAGATATCTTGCTTTGTTATTATAACCATACCACACACTTCAAGATATGGGAAAAATGAATGCACTTCAGATTACTGGTTGTGGTGGTTTGAATGGAAATGGCCCCATAATAGTGCCCATAAGGAGTGGCACTATTGAGGACTGTGGCCTTGTAGGGGTAGGTGTGGCCTTGTTGGAGGAGGTATGTCATTGGGGGTGTGGACATTGAGATTTCAGATGCTCAAGCCAGACCCAGTGGCTCATTCTCTCTTCCTTCCGATCTGGATATACAACTCTCAGTTACCTCTCCAGCACCATGTCTGCCTGCATGCTCGCTGCCATGCTTCCCGCCATTGACAATGATGAAACTAAACCTCTGAACTGTAAGCCAGCACCAGTTAAATGCTTCCCTTTGTAAGAGTTGCCGCAGTGGTCATGACATCTCTTCACAGCAATAGAAACCCTAACTAAGACACTGTGAAGGTAAAATTCTTATAGAAAGCTTTGTGAAATATTAAACATGAATATAATCAACTTTTGAGCTATAACTACCAACTTACAAGACACTCAGGGTTTCAAAGAGTGAAATCAAACAAAATCCAGTCTAGGGGAAATTCTACAGGATAAAGTCTACAGGGTGAAGGGTATGGTTTCCTTAACAGATGCATTGAATGGGGAGAGGAAGGAGGAGAGAAGACAAGGAAATATGGAGGTTTAATGAAAATATACAGACTTTATTTTTTTTTTTTTGGGTTTCTCTGTGTAGCTTTGCGCCTGTCCTGGAACTCACTTGGTAGCCCAGGCTGGCCTCGAACTCACAGAGATCCGCCTGGCTCTGCCTCCCGAGTGCTGGGATTAAAGGCGTAGACTTTATTTTTTATAAAAGAAATATAAAAAGGAAACTATAAGTCAACTAGAAAAATTTGAAGGTTGTTTTTTCTTTTTTTAGTTTTTTTAGATAGGGTTTCTCTGTGTAACAGCCCTAGCTATTCTGGAATTTGCTCTGTAGACTAGGCTGACCTTGAACTCACAGAAATCCGCCTGCCTCTGCCTCCCAAGTGCTGGGACCACAGGTGTTCACCATGACTGCCCAGCAAAATTTGAAGATTTAACAAAGAAAAAATTAACAGTAATTTAAGTGAGGAAATGGTACTGTGTTCGTTTCTTTGAAAACAGCCCTGGCCTTTTAGCTCTCACAGAACTGCTTCAGCCTGTATAACTTCCAAATTATTTGTGGCTAAGGGGAAAGTCAGGTGTAGAGAGAGCTAAGTATGTATTGAGCAGGGTCCTGGGTGCATGGAGCATCACTATACATAGAGCATCACTGCACATGGAGCATCACTGCACATGGAGCATCACTGTACTTGGAGCATCACTGTACATGGAGCATCACTGACATGGAGCATCACTGTACATGGAGCACCACTGTACATGGAGCACCACTGTACATGGAGTATCACTGTACATGGAGCATCACTGTACATGGAGCATCACTGTACATGAAGCATCGATGTACTGTAATCTGTTTTATGGGTTACAGAACAGCAAAGGGGAAAGGTTTGGGGCAATAATGAAAAACCAATTTTTCTAAAAGCCCTCTTTAGAATATGGAGACAAGCCCCTCCCCCAATACAAAAATTCTTTCGGTTGGACATGCACAGTCAACTGGAAGTATAAGTACAAAGGAGAAAGAGCGGATTCTTTTTAGAGACTCACAAGTTAGCAGGAGAGGAGCTGGAAGTCTTCAGCGGCAGTTTCAAGCATAAGCTCCTCACATCCCCCTCCTCCCCAAGTCCAGTGAAATAAAGAGTGGGGCCTGTAGTAACTGGGGTTTCACATGCAGGCAGCCAATGGGATGCAATGTGCAGCAGCTCCTGGAGCTCTATGGGAAAACCCTCTTCGTGAGTGATCCTAATAAGCTGTCGGTGACTAATGAGGCTTTTAACGAGACCATTCGTCTCTCCTTAGTGCGAGAATGCTAGTGTATCATTCAAAAAAACTATAAACGGATAGCCGTAAGATGATGATGTTTTTTGTCTCGTGTCCCCTCTGTTCTGCCCCATCAGCTCAGTCATACACTTTGCTGGATTTGCAAAGGAAATCACAAACAGAACAAGTGACTTTGTCAGTGCTGCAGATGAATTCTGGCACCTGCTTGGACACGAGCTGTGTGCTAAACAGCCTTGTGATGCCCTACGCCACCAAATATTAAAAACTGGAAATGCTCATTAAAGCTTCCAAAGGAATGAGTCCGCTTGCACTGACGTTCCTAGAGGCACTGGGCATCTTTTCCACAGCCTCTGTGTTGAGTTCTGCCAGGCACACAGGAAGAACTGGCTGGAGAAACACGCACCCAAGAGCACAGGGAATGAAAGTGGAGGGGACTTTGGGAGAAGCAGAGCAACAACACTCTCTGCTCTGATGATGCTGACACATCTTGGCCTTGTGTCTCGGTGTCGTCTTTAGATTAAGTACTAATAGCAGCACAACCGTGACAGCGAGTCCTGATCGCCAATGGACTTAACAACTTACTTATGTGTCTTTGCTTTTTGCTTTCCACTTGTATTTAGGCAACAAGAACAACATAATTGGCGTGTGGTGTCTAGTCCTAACAGAGGACTGAGATTACTGAATGACCAACTTGGACAGGAAAAGAGAAGGCCCAAGACTTCACCCAACAGAAGACTGAGCACACCAGGGCCAATGTGACCGAAACAAAGCATTTCTTGTACATAACTTTATGTTCATAGTGAATTAAAAAAAAAAATTCAAGTGTCAGGCATACACTAAGATGCAAGGACTGCTTTCTCCTAACGTCCCTGAGGAAATGGGTGGATTAAGGAAACAGAATACAACCTACCTGAAGACTGCAAGAGTCAGTGACCAGAGCACTAGCGGCTTCCGCAGTTCAAACTTGGCTCGCTTGTTCATCAGATGCCGACCACCAAATATAAAGGCAGCATACAGTGCAGAAAACAGGAAAGATTTCTTCCTAGGAAGAAATAAATGGACCAAGCCTTGTGAGACAGGAGTCTTGAAGCACTTTTCACAACAGCTGCCCTGTCTGTACTAAAGACATTTTCATGAGTAGATGCCCCACTTCGATGAAACATTAATCCACTTGGAGACGGGTTCTGTGGGCAAATTCATCCTGTGGCTGCCAACATGCCACAGTAAGCACCATTCAGTGTAGACAGATGTTCTTTTCAGGCCCTAGGATCAAAAATTTCAACATGGCACTGAGGTATAAAAGTGACCTTTTCACTAGAGGAATTAACTATTCTTTTTAGGTAAGTGAATTTAAAGTAGAATTGTGGTTTTGGTAGAAGGTAAGTATTAACTTTCGAAATTACCATTAATTAAAAAGGCTACATTGTCAGATACACATATACACACAAATTGAATTTAAACATGTCTCTGATATACCCATCTGCAGGACAAAGGAAGGCATCTCTTTAGATGAACTGTACTGACTGAAGATCTGGGGCTGACCAGATTAAAGCCATCTTGAGGGACACAGCAGTCACATGCAAGTATGTAAAAGGGGGAAAAAAGGATTCTTATTTGAACAAACTGGTGTAAAAAAGCAGTTGTAATAAAATCAAAATGCTAGGTAGAATATTAAAGCTATTTATCTCTTCTGGATACACACTGAGATATATTTATGAATGAAATAGTGTATCCTAAACTTGTTTTAAAATACCCCAGGAAACAAGCAAAAGGAAACACGTGGGGAAATGACACCAGGAAGACAAGAGATGATGGGGCTCAACACCTCTCCCTCTTCTCTCTTGCACACACACAGAAACCTCCTAACACACTGAAAAACGTAAAAAGATTTCCCATTTTAAAATACTCCATAACAAATATTTTCTAAAGGATGGAAAATATGTATGTAAGTATTTGAGACCCACATTAGGACAATACGGGAGGGTGTTCACTGTTGGGAGTTACTGTGCCCTCATTCACAGAAGGGTGGAGCCTGTCAGAAATACCTCAGCAAGGTAAGACGGGACCTCCAAGCCCCAGACTAGTTGCTGTATGCAGTTTAATGATGCCAAAGCATGCAGAGAAAGAGAGAATGAGAGGGGAGGGGCGGGTGGAGTGGGGGTGGACTACATAGGCTGTGTAAATAATTTAAACATTGAAGCATACTTCCAGAGACAAAAACCTATCTCTTAGCATGGGTATCCCCTATACAACTAGACCAAAAGAGAAATGATTGAAGAATAAGTTGAAAGACATAATATGAAAATCAAAACGTGCTAAAGAATGTAGCATGCAAGACACTTCATGTATTACTTCCCTGGCTACTGGCATGTTACCATTTATCCAGGACACACTGCTGCTCACACGCATGCAGTGACCTACTTGGCGGGTCCCACCTTGTAAAGCCATGATCCCAGGAATCAACCCATAAATAAACACCACGGAAATTAGTTCCACTAGAGCCCTGCAACCATGGCGAGTGCTTGTTGGGACACATGGTCCTGGCACAGAGTCGGCTCTGAGTGAATGCATGTTGAAGAACGATCTCGTGCTTTCAAAGTTTTTGAAGCGGGGAGAACAGCACATTGACACCACAGCTCCTCAGTAAACACTGCATGAATGGGCAGTTGGGGGCACTGAAAGGAAGGGTATTTCCCCAGCAGTATATTTAAAACAACTGAAGAACTGAAAAATGGATTGTGGCATACTGTCCTCCTCCAACCAACTTTGTTTTAGAGCATTAAAAAAGAAAAAAGGATAATTTTATGGGAAAACAGAACTAGGCAATCTTTCAAGAGATACTTTCATACACAAATGCATGCACTTGAGTGTATTTTTGCTCTAATATCTGCCCAGGTTATGCTGTTGGATCACACAGAATGAGACCCACTCTTTCTACACTCCTATGAAGTTAAGATACATAAGACATACAAAACCCATACATGAACAATGACTTGCTTAAAAGAAAAGAAATCAAAACCCAACATTAATGCAGGCAATGGGAGCATTCAATGGTGGAATTCTTTTTTTCTTAATTATGAAGGTGACGAGTGACTGGAACTGCTTATTTACTCAGCAATTCCCCTGGGCCGACATCCCGCTGAAAGACCTTATCACTTAACCCCCTCTCACCGCACCTCACAGTTTTAGTATGACTTCCATTTTAGAGAAGAAGAACTGGCCTTAGAGGTTAAGTAGCCCTGAGGCTTCTTCTCAGTCAATTTATAGGAGAAGAGGAGGTTGGTTATCGATGTACTGTCACCTAAGCAAGTAAGAGTTCCTTTGGTGACCTCTGGCAACTAAACAGAAAAGAGTTTTACTGTGCAAAGCCCAAGGCACCTACCTGCACCCACCCCACACCATCATGCTCCAACTGTTGGATCTCCCAGATCTGTGAAGCTTTCATTCACCCCTCTTGTTTCTTTGAGAATGCTGAAAACATTCCCTGAGGAGTTTTCCTTTTTAAAATGACTTCTTTTCCTTTTAGTATAGGAGTGTTTGCCTGCATATATGTATGTGCACCATGTGTATGTTTGGTGTCTGAGGAGGCCAGAAGAGGGCGCTGGATCCCCTGGAACTGGAGTAACAAGAGTTGTGAGCAGCCATGTGGGTGGTGAGAACTGAACCTGGTCCCTCTGTAAGAACAAGTGCTCTTAACCACTGAGTCATCGCTCCCATCTCTTATCATTATTTCTTGGTCATGCAATATATATAATTTGGGTCCTGGTTTTGGGTCCATGAACTGAATGACTTGTAATCATGTGTCAACCAAGTTAAATGCTGTCTTTACACAGTAATATCATTCTAGCTGGAGGAAAATGTGCCCCAGAAGCAAGGATGTTGAGCCCCATCATCTCTTGTCTTCTGGGTTTTTGTTTTGCTCATTTATTTATTTATTTATTTATTTATTTATTTATTTATTTATTTATTTATTTATTTATTTATTTATTTCTGTAATTTCCCCACTTCTTGAATGAGGATTAGTTCTAAGTCACTGCTAATGTCCTTGCAAGACCAATTTTCTTTTTCACATGTTTCTTTAAAAAAAATCTTCTGCAATTTAAGGCATGATGACACATACCAGCAACCCCAACATCTAGTAGAGGCAGGAGGATCAAGAGTTCAGAGCCAGCTTCATTTTTTTGTTGTTGTTGTTTTTGTTTTTTGTTTTTGTTTTTGTTTTGTTTTTGTTTTTCGAGACAGGGTTTCTCTGTGTAGCTTTGCGCCTCTCCTGGAACTCACTTGGTAGCCCAGGCTGGCCTCGAACTCACAGAGATCCACCTGGCTCTGCCTCCCAAGTGCTGGGATTAAAGGCGTGCGCCACCACCGCCTGGCTCAGAGCCAGCTTCGTTCATCTGCTTAACAAGTTTGAGGCCAGCCCAAGTTCTATGAGGCCATCTCTGAGAAAACAGTCTGTTCAACAGCTCGGACAAACGGGGTAAACAGTGGCCCAGAACTTGAGAATTACAGGGAACCTGAGAGGCTGAGTTCAGGGAGAGGTCAAGTCCCTCATTCTACAGGAGAGGGAATAAGGATGGCATCAGTGGCTGATGGTCACTGTATACACTGCTCAAGACCACACAAAATGTCTGTGGTTAATACCGAGAAGGCAGAAATGAACTGTGAGTCCCAGATAGTCAATGATGAGAATGACATTTGCTTAAGTACGATTAGAAACCACGTGGTCACCACACACTACAGACATCTACTGTGATGAACAAACCATGCTTCGGGTAAGTTTAGAGTCAAACGGGGTTCTTCCACAAAGAACTGAATGATGGCACTTGCAGGGCAAACGGACAAAACCGGATGTCTGACAACAAGGGAAAGGAGCCGATTCGAATGGTTGAGTACCATGCGCTTTCTCTCACGTGGGAAAGTCAGCTGAAAGAGAGAAGCCAAGGAATGAAGAAGAGGAGGAGGCTGCAAGGAGAAGACGGGAGAGACGGGATGCAGGAGAACGACAGGGGGTGATGGGATAGATGTGGTTCAAAGCACAGTGCATATGTGTATGAAAATATGGAGTAAAAAGCTTCAGACTCCCTCAGTAAGAAACTCATTTACTGAAGCGTTAACTCCTGCTTCAAAAAGTGTAATTACTTTCCCATTGTTTGGAAGGTTTGGCAAACTGGGCTACTTCAGTGATTGAGAACTGGCTTTCCTACCAGTACCTCTCTGGTAAAGGTTCAATTACAGTCAGGTTGAGCAATGACTGCTTACTGGCCTACTCAGTATTTAGGATGGATTAGTGAGTGCCCTGATGCTTCAAGAGTAATCCAATAATTCTCTATTTTCCTGTAGGCATCCAGGGATGGGAATAATGTGGCTACTACAATGTTTTATTATCAGATAATTAGTAATCCCTAGGTAGCATGAAGTTACCTTGCTTAATAAATTTTAATGTACATCACATAGCACAAGCCTTCCTCTCGGGTACTTAATAAGTCCTTTCAGGGTGGAGAAACCGGAGCTGATTACTAGGCACTGAACCGAATAGGAGATAAGTCAAAAGAAAAAAGAGGACCTGAGTTTGATTCTCCAGCACCAAATGTAAAAAGCCTCACATGGCCACGTGTGCCTGTCACACCATCCTTGTCTGAACCAGGTAGAACTCAGGAGTTCCCTGGCTAGTCAGTCTACTGGGAAACCTACTTATTAGTTTCAGGTTCAGTGAGAAAAATCTGTCTCAAAACAAAACACACAAAACAAACAAACAAACAAACAAACAACGACAAAACCCAAAATAACCAAACAAAACATAAGGTGGAGAATGACACACACCTCTTCCTCTAGCCTCTGTAGTGGGGACATGGGCACACACACTCTCATGCTCATGTACGCATACAACAAACAGACAGACAGACACACACACACACACACACACACACACACACACACACACACACACCCTCTGTTGTACTTTTACTTTTTTTTAAACAAGCAGAAGCTTTTTGTCCCTTACATTTCTGTCATCAATAATGGAAGTGAATAATAATGGAAATT